CAATATGTGCCTATTCTCAAGACCTTCCAGGAAGTCTTGAATAATAAAGACTTTGCAGAGAGAATCTTATCCAGACATTCAAATAACACTGGATATATTAAGTCCATTTTTGATGGCAAACTTTTCCAACTAAATGACTTCTATGCTGGTGAAGAAACAAGACTCGATTATTCTTTATGTTGATGACTTTGAGGTGTGCAACCCCTTAGGAACTTCAAGAAAAAAACACAAAATAACAGCTGTTTATTGGGTTTTAGCAAATGTGCCGTCCGAGTTACAATCTACATTAACTTCAATACAACTTGCATTACTTTGCAAAGCTGTTGATGTCAAACAGTTTGGATACAAAGCCGTTTTGGAACCACTCTTGAAAGATCTTGCCACTCTTGAACAGGAAGGAATTTTCGTTTCCAGTGTTGGACATTTTGTTAAAGGGACTGTACTCTGTGTGGCAGCAGATAATCTCGGTGCACATTCTCTCAGTGGACTAGTTGAAAGTTTCACAGGACCGTACATCTGTAGATTTTGTCTTGCACATTCTTCAGAGTATCAGACACACGAAGTGCGGACTGGATGTTTTCCCCCTCGGACCAAGGAGGAGCATAGTTTGCATGTGCAAACTAAAAAAGAAAATCCAGATTTAACACATTGCTTTGGTGTAAAGCGGTCGTGCCCATTGACAGATAAATGTAGTCACTTTCACTTTGTCACTGGGTATCCACCAGACTTACTATATGACCTATTTGAACGCATAGTTCCAAGAGAACTAGCATTGTGTTTTCAGATTTTCACAAAGAAGAAGTACTTTAGTTTGACTGAACTAAACAAATTAATCACACGCTTATAAGGGCACAGACAAAGCAAATAGCCCTCAAACCATTTCTCCAAATTACATTTAGCGAAAAACTATTGGTGGAAACGCCCATGAAAACTGGGCCCTAATAAGGTTGTTGCCCCTTATTGTTGGTTCCCGGGTACCTGAGGGTGATTCTGCCTGGCAGCTTCTTCTGACATTAAAAGACATAGTCGAATTAGTGGTTGCCCCTGTTCACACAGTTGAAACCATTGCATACCTTGACTTTCAAATATCTGATCATCGTGACAGATTCTTCAACGTTTTTCCTGAACAGAAACTGACACCCAAATATCATTTTTTGGAACATCATCCTGGACTGATTGAAAAATATGGGCCTCTGGTTGGTGTATGGACAATGCGCTTTGAAGCCAAACACAGCTTTTTTAAGAAAGTTGTAAGGCACACTAGGAATTTCAAAAATGTATTGCTGACCCTTTCTACAAGACATCAGTTGATGATGTCACACCACCTGCATACCGATGTTGGAAAACAGGCCCTGTGTGTCACAAAAATATCTATAGTGCCTTTAGACGTGCTGCATTCAGACATACAGGAAGCCCTAAGAGAAACTTCACCCCTTCGGTCTTCTGTGCAGTTAGCTAACACTGTCATCAACTATGGAACAAGGTACACTGTTGGGATGATCTTGTGTTTTGGCTCTACTGGTAGACTACCTCATTTTGCTGAGATTATTCAGATGGCCATCTTGGACAATTGTGTACACTTTATTGTAAAGTTACTTGCTGCCTGGTATGAAGAACATCTACGATGTTTCCAACTGGAGGACACTGGGAAAATGGCACTTTTGGAGCAGCAGACCCTTGGTGATGTGATCCCCTTGGTTGCCTACACTGTGGGAAGAAAACGCTTGGTTACTCTCAAATGTCACGTGTGTTGTTAATTTTAGGTAATTTAAATGTATTTTTAAATGTTACATTTTACAACATCTGTATGTTTGGTTACTTACTGGAGATATAACAATATTGGGTTTTTTCTTCGATTTTTTGCTATTTCTTGAATTGTATGACGAACAAGCAGGGTGCCACTTGGCAACCTAAATCAGTCTGTTGCACACAATAGCATTATGAATTCTTAGTGGACATGTTATTTAAAAGACTCAAAAGGTAGATAAGAGAGTTCATGTTGCATCTGTGGCAATTTGACTTAATTTCATTGGTATCATGCTCAATCAAATGTTTATTGAATAGTTGCTCTGTTTAAGTTTATTGTCTAATTGAAAACTATGAAAGACAAACTAATTATTAAGAGCATGGATAATGGTGACAAGACTATAACAATTAATAACTATATGTTGCACTTAAAGACTCAAGAGGACATCACTTTTATTTTCTCACTCGTAGCAACTTTATTACAAAAAACAACTCCGTCACTTAAAACAACACGTTTCTTATAGTCTTTCTTCAATTGCACACTTTCGCAACCTTGTGGTTAAAACTAGCAATTATATTTACAATGCTTCTGAACAACAATAGAATGTGAAGACAACACAATATGCCTTCATACAATAATTATCGCAAACTGTACTTTTAAATAACAAATACCTCTCTAACCAGTTATACATAGTTAGCATAAACATACTGGAGAAATAAACATAAGCAAAACGTGTTAATTAACCACATCCTTAATTATGTCGTTGAATATATTTAAAGATTCAGTTATTGTTTTATAATTTATAGACAGGATCTGGTCTCATCTTTTTTTGTCTTTCTTCTTTCCCACCATTCTTCTCAGGCTGGCAGAGATGGAAGCAAAGCTGAGAGTATTGATTGACGACCGGATTGAGAAGCTGGTACTTCCAGCAGGAATCCCACCAACTGTAGAGGAGCTGACCAATGTTGTGAAGGAGACCTATGCAGTTATTGATGAGTTCAGTCTTCAATATTTAGACTCTGAAGATTATTTTACGCTTAAGCAAACGGACCAAATTAAACACAAGGACACCGTGAAGGTGGTTTACGCGGAGCAGATAACTCTCAACCTGCTTCCAATAGACGGAAGTTCCTTTCTGCAAAGTTCCACTGAGTATGATTTTGCATCAAATGCAGAATCCTCTGCTGGAACCTCCTCTTCACAGGATACCATAATCCTGCCCAATCGAAGTACCGCTGAACGATGTGAGCCTTGGCCAAAACAATTCCCCGTTCCACGGTTTGCATTTCAAACTGAGATGTCCCTTGAAAGAGCCAATGAACTACAAGAAGGATGGAAAACTTCTACCTACCTCAAAGGTCAAGGCAGACATCCTTGAAAAGCTTGCTGAAACTATATTTACATACACAGCCTATCCATCAAGTGCCAAAATAAGTGATGTTGCTGAGGCACTTGTAACCAAATATCCTTGTCTCAAGGAACCAGGCTCCTTCTCAGGTTACTATGGCTGGCAACAAAGCCTGAAATACAAGATGGCAAATTATCGCACCAAACTCCGAGGCTACGGTGTTCAAGAGCCCTGCACAGCAAAAGTCTGCCATGGGTGTAAAAAAGCCTCGAAAAGCAGAGGTAAATGATCTTCCTCCTTACCCAGCAGGAGAAGATGAAGACAGTCAAGAACAGGAAAGGATTGAGTTGCTTTCTGAAGTGATGAAAAGGGACAACAAGACATTGATAAAAGAAAAAATGGCAAAAACATTTCCACACAGAAGAAATGAAATTGTCAACCACTCACCCAGTATGGAACTGATCAAAGCAGATGGCCCGCTCTACTTGAGACGTCTCGCGTGAGTTATAAGTGCATCCTAATATTATTATACCTGCTCCAGAATGATAACGTTTTTGTCGCATCACATGGTTACACAGTTTATAAAGGAATCATAAATAATCCTTGGATGTGTATATGCAAAGTCCAACATTGAACAATGACATTTGCTAGCCAAAACATTATATGCACATGCTGTGAAGTCATATGATTAAACCCAGAATGGGAAAATCATAAAACATGGCAAGACAAGCAAAAAGATCATAGTAGGTGCTTTCTGCTTTTAAAATCTTGTAAGAATAATAGGTTAAATTGTAATATTAAAATAAATTCTGGTTTCATTATCTATCTTTCAGATCCAGGATGAGTTTCACAGAATCACGATGGTGCACCTGGAATCGAAGTTCATATCCAAACTGGATGAATATACTCCTGGCCTTCGGAAACTGTTCCACTCCAAGGGAGGAACCATGCGGCTGAAGTTGAAAGCTGTCCTTATCCAGGTACCCTTCAATGAATATTATTATCATGACAAAAGGAGGTAATGCAAGGCTGTAATTCTCACAAACGAAGTACAATCTCTGTTCTCTGTCAAAGCGTCTTTGAGTTTCATGAAAAGCGCTATAAAAGTCCCATGTATTATTATTATTATTATTATTACAATAGTTGTCAGCTTTATTAAGATCAGAATCAGAGAAGGGAGTGTTTCTGCTGTCGGTTTCCTGTGGTCTGAGCAGGAAACGGCAAAGTACGGTTTGGAAATGATATCAACATCCACTCTGTCTAATAAAGTATGTGCTGATAACACCATTTGATTCACAGTTTGATTTGAAGTGTACTTACTCTAGGAACAAAGTTACTATGTGGATGCATTATTTGGCAACGCCGGATTTGCATCCCCCTGTTATTTCAGCCAAGATGAGTGTTTCATGAAATATTGCATCCACCTAGTAACGTTGTTCCTTGGCAGCACTACACTCATCAGGATGGGAAACCAGTGTGAATATAACCACAAAGAGCTGATGTCGACACATGCTCAGTCTTTCCTTCTGCTCTTGTGATAAAGGTCAGGTCAGCTGGAACACAGCTTCTTTCTAAAGTGTTACACTCTGTGAGAAGTCATGTTGTCCTGATTGCATTTTTAAAAGTCTTCACTGACACTGAGAGCAGTGCACTTGAGCCAACAAGGAGAGCCATAAGCTGCAAAAACGGTGTTTGCAGGGGGAGTCGTAACAGCTAAACAAACAACTAAAATTCATTACAACATTGAGAAGTTATATTAAACATAAAACTGCTATTATATTGCTTTCTATATTGATACCTTAGACTGTATCCTACACTACTCGTTTCCTTTGTGGTTAGACGGTAATGAGAGTGAACTGAATTCAAATCACGAGAAGAGGTAAACAAAAAAACAAGAGAACCCTATTGAATGATATTAACATTTATTCAGCTGCATATCAGTGATCTTTTATATTTAAAAAATGATCCCACATAAAGTAGAGGTACTTGTACATTTCCTGAGTATTTCAACTGCTTTTAAAAAAGGGAAATAATGTAATGTCTTTCCTCTACATTTATTCAACAGCCTTAGCTATTCTTTTAACAAAATGCTTCTCTTAAAATTAAACTAGTGCTCTAACTCTGTAAGTCAGAAAAAAGTCAAAGATTTAAATATTTTACAAAAAGTAAATCAGCACTTAGTCTACAACAGTAAAATGCTTCTTGATAGAAATGTCACATCATTACACATAAAGGACCTTCTCTGCACAATGAACACTTTTTATACTTTAAGTACATTATGCTTTGAGGGAATTATACTGCATTCAGGTACACTTCATACTGATGATGAATATGAATGCCACCTGCACATTTATAGGAGGTTTATTTTAGAGCCAGTGTGGGCTGATGGTCATAGAACAAGAGATATTATAAAATAAAATACACAAAACTAAAGAGGAAATAAAGAAGTGAGATGCTTACAGTATGAGTTACTGTAACTGCACAACTTTGATCGGTAGTGGGTTTTCTCCTCTGTTTATTCAGACCGTTGTTATGATTTTAGTAAAGAAATCTGCATTGTTTAGTATGTTTAATTATTCGATGCTGCCATCGCTCCGCTTTTTTCATTGAGTATTTTACAACGAGTGAAACAGCACCCCTCTGGATGTTATGGTGAAACGCGGTATTGCACCCACTTATATTGGTCCATTTCAGAATAATATATATATATGTTTTATAATGATTGATGTGTTATCAAAGCTGGTAAAGGTGCAGCTAGTTTGAATAATACATTACATTTATAAAGCGCTTTTCCTGGTGCTCAAAGCGCTAAGCTAGGAGGAATAAGGGCAAGGGGTTAGTTGATTAGGAGTTGAAGGCAAAAGTGAAAAGGTGAGTTTTGAGGGATTGTTTGAATGATGTGAGAGTGTTGGCGGATCTGACGTGGCTGGGGAGGGAGTTCCAGAGTGAGGGGGAGGCTACTGCGAAGGCCCTGTCACCCCAGGTCCGGAGCTTTGTCCTGATGGGCTGCATGCTGAATGACTTTGTATACGTGCAGGGTAGCTTGTGAATTTACTCCAGGTGGAACTAAAGTCTGATTTAACACTTGATTAGATTTCACAGCATTCATCCACATCTGTAAAATAACTAAAAGGTATTAAATACATGTAGTGGAGGAAAAGTACACAATTTACCTCTGAATTGTAGTGGAGTAGAAGTGCAAAGTAGCATAATTGGAAATACTCAAGTAAAATACAAATACCTCAATATTGTACTTCCCACATCTTGGCCACAGGAAAACACTCTGTATTTAGAATGACGCGCAGTCAGTTAGCTCGTCCCTGTTTCTGATTGGTTAGATGTTGCTAACCCCGCCCATTTCCTGTATCCGAGCTGAGAAACTCTCGGTTGATTCACCGAGATCCCAGTTGTTAGTGAAGCCAGAAAACTCAGAGATATCCAGGGTCTGTTGGACTGTGTGTTTGTAGAGTTTGTTAAACAGGAGACCAACACAAAGCAGCAGTGAGAGACATTTCAATCATAAAGTAGAAACATGTGTTCTTACCTTTTAACACGTGAGACTGCAGAGAGAGGGCTGTCTTCTGGATTTCATGTCTTACTATGTCCGGCGCAGTCCGGGAAAGACTGGAGGATTATTCATGAAATTCAGCTCGAGTTACAGTGCAGCTGATACAAGGCTCATAATGGGCGGAGCAGAGGAAGGAGACAACTCCCTTGATGGGAAGCATGCAGTCTCACTGGGAGAACACCTACTCACACCCTCTGTGAACAGGGACGTGCACAGACATTTGGAGGGGCTATTGCTCTGAACTGGGAAAAGGGCCTCCCCCCCGATAAAGACCTTTTGAAAATTGTAACTTGTTTTTAATGTAAAATAAACCAAACGATTATTACATCAACTAGATTGAACAGTAATTCACATCTCATAACAAAATAAGCTAAGGCGACTACTTGCATTCAGTGACTTGTTTTCAAAAATGAAAAGCAGGGACATTTTTGGTTTTGCGGTCCATATCTCATTAACATATCTAATGTTAGTAACTATTAAAGATAAAATGGGGACAATTCTGTTTTAATGTAGTTTGACCATTGTAACTGCAGTCCATACTGATAAAATAGGGCCTCTAACTAATTACCTTAAATAAACTCACTAATTAATGAAACCAGTTCAATACGCATTAGTCTTATTCTTATCATTCTTTATGAGCGCAGTAACGGTAAGGTATCTAATAACTTATTTATTTAGTATTCCATAACTTCAGTGGCGGCTGGTGGAAAATATTTTTGGTGGGGCTGTTGATATAGTGAGTAAAACATTTTTTTTTGGGAGAAATGACCCCTTAAATTAGGACTTCTGGTGATGTAATGGCGCGTTTCCACTGCAGCGGGTAGCTCGCTTTAAGCGTGCCGAGCCGTGCAGGGCCCGTTTTTGGTTGCGTTTCCACTTGGCCTAGTACCGGCTAGCGGGTCCTAATTCACAGTTTTTCTGGCCCCATAAAATCGTGGTTCTAGGGCCAGGAACAACCAGGCTGAGTCGGGCTGAGTATGCTAAACTAGAGAGAGAACCGCTGGCAAGGGGGCTACAACTACAACAAGATGAACATATTTGACCGTGATTGAATTGTAATACACGTTTCAAAATGATGCCGAAGTAACAACATACCGGTTAGTAAAAACCATGAATTAATGCTTTGACAAGTCTGCAGACAGACGGAAGGCGAAAAACCCTTTTAAAATGCGTGTTTTCTAAATGGAGCTTGGCTAAGCTAACGTTATATATGCTCCGACCGTCCACACTCACAACAACGGCCTACAGACATAAATAAACCAGCGACTGTATTCTCCATGACACAGGCAGTCTGTGGTTTGTACTTGTTTAACTTTTGTCTAGTTTCTGAACAGATATGAAGAGCTGTGAGCTCTGAGTGCTAAGAGCTAACGGCTGTGTTGTTATGCTATGTTAGCTTTGCCTAGCATGGCTAGCTTGAAGGTACTTGTCATATGTAACTTTGTGCACTCGTGCTCTTTAATTTTTTCGGACAAATGCTTCATATCGTTTACCCCCGTCACAGTCCACGGGCACATCGTATCTGTCCCCGGCTGTTGCTGAGCAAGCATGGGAAACAAAAGACAGCATTTACCTCTTTGCATCAGGTTTGCATCCAGCTAGCCATGCCTTTCTGGTGTACCAGCTACGTGAGAAGCCTCGTTGATACGTTTTGTCTTTTTCACAAGCTTGCTGCGATATATACAAATCGGGTTGGTCCGGTCCAAGGTCTTTAAGCAACAGTTTATCTCCCAAACTTCTCCTTTCGAAAGGATTGGAGAGAAGCTCTTGCACGGAATTGGGTGCGGACCGAGGTCCGGCGACTCCACCTGCACACGAAGCCATTCTCATCCAATTACTGCGTCACCTTGGTCACTCACGAGTCTAAAAAACAACTCACGTCAACGAACGTAAGCAACGTGGGAGCCAACGTGGGAGCCAACGTGAGCGCCCTCGTGACCAAAATATTTGACGGCGCTGATTGGCTGAAATTATGTTTCGGCGGCACAGTTTACTATTGAGACTTTTTGCAACGTGCTGGTTGCTGCTGTTTGTCTCGGGGGCTCCGCCCGGTAATGATACACTAATGCCACCGGCAAGGCCAGGCAGGAAACATGTGACTTATCAGTAACTTTAGACATCGTAACACAATTTTAAACGAGATTTTATTGTAGATTATACATTTTACTGATACCAATTGTATGATATTTACCTTGTTAATTAAAAATAAAAATAAATATATTTTTAAAATATATTTTTTATAATTTTATATTTTTTTTAATATATTTTTTTGTATGTGGGAAGAGGTGGGGCGGCGCCCCTAGCACCCCTATAGGCCGGCCGCCACTGCATAACTTAATAACAGAGATGGTCAAACTAAAGTGTTAGAGACATGGCAGAAATCCTACAATGAAGCGGAACAGTGAACCGTTCACCCGTGAGAGGGCGATCAAGAAAAGAGAGCGAGCGACCCGTTGAGCGAGTTTACAGATGAGAAGACACAGAAAGACAGAAGCACAATAACAACAAATAGGCTATATTTAGGTGTTTTTTTGTAAATAACCAACGGTATCAAGAGGAAGTAAAGTCCCCTGGTTTGTCCCTTATACCCTAACTGCCATGAGAGAACTCAAAATCAAGTTTCCAAAATCCGACACTGAGGTGGTCTTAACGCAGCGGCAGATGACAGCACTGACAAAGTGTGTTTCCCGCAGCGAGACGCTACAATACTGATTGTGGGCTCATCATGGTGATTCGGCCACAACAGAAAAAAGAAAAACAAACTCGCTCTCTCCAGAGGGGCAGGTCAGCCAAAAAGGCAAAACGGGCCGTTGCCCGGGCAACATTAGCCCGTACCTGTGCACGTCCCTGTCCCAGACTATCTTTTACATCCGTAAATCTGAGCCCCTTTTACACATATGCAATTTTGGATTTGTAGTTTGTGTTTGCATATTTATAAAGTATCTTACAAGGGTTGTTGTCGTTTTCGTTCTGCTGTTCCTCCCCTATAGTGTCGAAGAAGATGCTGGTGCTTCCGATGGACTGGAGGTATTTTCCGCTGGGTCTCCGATCAGCAACAGCCCACTGTACCCATAGAGTCCAGTAGAGGGCGGAGCCTGTGTGAGATAGGTTATTTATTGTAACCCTAGTTCTATAAGCACAGGCGGAGCCCTCTACCTAGGGGCCCTGTCTTTCCTATGCTGCTCGCTGAAGAGGGTGTAGGATGACAGTCAGGAGGTGTAGCTGCTTTATATACTGTGAGGCCTGCGCTCGCATTCAGATAGGCTCGCCCTGATTGGCCGGCTACGATTATGCAAATTCAGTGTGTGAACGCTCGCGTATCATTGATGAAGAGTAGTCCCCGTAGAGTCCAGTAGAGGGCTCCGCCTGCGCTTATAGAACTAGGGTTGCAATACGTAACCTGTCGTTTTGTTAAATAGGACTACAGAAGTTGTACGTCATTACTCTGAACACGTAAACACTCCCGCTAAGTTTGTTTGCCGTGTTCTGCACAGGGCTCGCAATTAACGATGTCCCGATGTCCATAACAATTCCTACTTGGACACAAATCTATTTTGTCTGGGACTATTTCGGGACAGTGAAAAAAAAATTAAAAATAAAACTTCAAAATGGGTGTTATTTGCAAAGTCATTGGGCTGTCAAATCATAGAATGCATTCTGCGTCATCCACTCTGATGCTGACTGCTGCTAGACTCGCGCCAATGCAACGGTCACGACAGTTAAAAGAAGAAGAAAGAAATGCTGAGGTGGTTGAATAAACAGCCCCCTGTTGCAAGCCCCAATTCTGCCGACTCCCGAAACGAAAACATCCCAAGTCCTGGTCATGATGCATCGTCTTCAATGTGGTAAGTTAGTTGTCTTAAGTGTCAATGTTAGCTAGCGCTAACTAACGCTAGCAACTGAAGTGTGCCTTACAATGCATACAAACGTCCTAAAATGCGGTGTCATGTTCTTTTGAAGTTTGTGAAAATGATGTGAAATACAGTTGATCAGAATAAGAGGTGTAGCCGATCATTTTTGTATTTTCTTTGTCAGCCAGCCAGTGACCAGGCTAGAATCTTTAGCTGCAAAAACGTAAGGCATTTAGCTAATCATTTAGCTTTTCATCTTTTTTTAGTGTTTTAGTTTTTTTGGGTCAAGAACGTCAGTCAGATTGGGTGACGATTAGAAAGGGGGTCGCAAGGTAATTTTAGTTTGTCAATCAACTCTGGTATGAGAATAATGTGTCATGTTAAGAGAGAGTAATGTTCCAGTTGTTTTTGTGCCTAGGGGGGGGGGGGGGGGGGGGGGGGGGAATGAGTGAGAGCAAGATGATTGACATTCATGAATGAAGATAGAAGATCAATTTATATTCCTATAATACTACTGACTTGTGAGGATAACTTGTAATTAGAACTAAAAACAGATACATTTATTAAACTGTATTATGGAACTTCTGTTTTTTTTATTATCATTCATACCACTTTTATTGCCAGATGGAGGGTTCCGATCATAAAACAGAGACCATACAGCCATACCATATTGAATTGAAAAATACAAATCAGAATTCTTCAATGTTGACATGACAATGATAAATTAGTCTGGATATTGAGAAACAATAGAAAAACATGTCTTAAAACAACTCTCTTCCCTTCTATTCTAGGAGAGGCAACAGATCAGACTAATATTCATATGTTTAAAAGAATAAGTATTTTAAAGTTACATGATGGACCAGAGTCTATGGTGTGATGATTAAGTGACAAAAAAGTATCAAATTATATGTATTCTGCATAATTGGGGGGGCGACGATACAAATTTGGGACACTGCTGGTTATATCCGGGACAATACAAAGTAGAATTCGGGACAGTTGTGGGACACTGAGGAAAACAGTTAATTTAGAGCCCTGGTTCTGCATGAAAGCAAGTACCTGCCTCCTGCTAACTGTCAAAACAAACGCTTCAACTTGTATCATTTTGAATCTGTGTGTTTGAATACGGATCTTGAGTTGGCAGGACGTTGAAGTCGTGCTGCTGTACTCGGCTGTAGTTCCTTTATAGAGGAACGTTAGCATTTTGCTTCTGGCGATTAGATTTATGATTAGAAAATGATAAAAGTAGGGTAGACATGTGGAGATTATCCGGCTGAACAAAACAAGCATTTATCAAACAGGTTTGTTTTCCACAGACCTTATTTCGAGCTCTTTTCCAAAATCCTATGGAGAAATCCCATTGCTTTTTTGTCGAGGGAACCAGCAGCTCACTTCCGGGTAAATACGTCATCCCTGCACCGCTCTATTCAAGGCAGCTGCAGTGTTCATGAAACAGAGAGACATGAGGATGAACAATAGCGTTAAAGAATAAACACTTTTATTATAACAAAGGAATAAAACATTTACAACATTTACAAATCGATCTAATTTAACATTTCCAAATATTTCCTCCTGTAAGACATGCAGTGCAGATTGTGCAGAATAAGTAAAAAAGTAAATAAAAAGTGATTTATTTATAATGTGTAACATTTATAAAAGCACATTAAAGGTGGGGTAGGTAAGTTTGAGAAACCGGCTCGAGATACACTTGTTATATTCCATAGAATGCTCTTAACATCCCGATAGCAATGAATATCTGAAGTGCTTTGACAATAAATCCATAAGAAAGTGTCATCAGTGGAAGCCGTAGTACTGTAAAAAGCACGACCAATCATCTGAGCCGGCTAAAGTAACTGGATGGCCTACCTGCCTGTCAGCCTTCCATCGGTGCAGACACTTATCTCGTGCCCTCATTGGTCATCTGCGCGTTCGTGTGTGTTGGAGGAGTGTGTGTTGGAGGAGGGGCTCTGTGAGGAAGTGGCAGATTTCTTCCGGCTGTGTATTTTCAAATTCTAGCGCACTCGAGCTGGTTTCTCCAAAATTACCTACCCCACCTTTAAATGCAGCATGGTAACAATATCCATCAGTAAACACAGGGTTTGATGACCTTACAGCTGAATGATCAAACTCACATTGAAGGCTGAAATAAATAAATGTAACAAATACACTTTACAGAGGTCACTGAGGTCTTTTCTGACTCTTAAATCAGATGTTGGAGTGTCTCACTTCATGCTCAGATTCAGACGGAGATATGTAAGTCCGGATGGTTTGTTTCTCTGATAAATTCCCCGTATGTATGGCTGCATTGTGGGTTCTTCTCTTATATCTTATTAAAAAAATGCAGGCCATGCTGACAAAGAGAACCAGAAGAGCTGAAACTCCAACGATAAGCCAGAGTCCTCTCAGACTCTCTGGTTGTGGACTCTCTGTTGGTCTCTGAGGTTCGAGCTCTTTAGCAGCTGTGGAAAAGGACAGCAAATTACATGAGGAACCATTTTAGTGTTAATAAATAACAGGTTTAATCTAGAGTGAAAACATGACAATCTGCAACCTTCATTCTTCTGAAAAACATCCTGTGGTTCCAGCTTCTCAGTCTCCCCTTTTCTACTAAAATGAGTTCTGTGTGGGGCTGGTTTGGATCACAGTTGGTTTGTGAGAAGAGATTTATTTTAAAATGAGTTGTGAACATTTTAAACCATTAAAACAAGCCGTTCTTAAGATTTGAGCAGCAGGACTCTTTTGGTCTTTCATTCACACTTTGTTGAGTATCTGCCATTTCCTTTTCAATATGTTAAAGGTGGGGTAGGTAAGTTTGAGAAACCGGCTCGAGATACACTTGTTATATTCCATGGGATGCTCTTAACATCCAGATAGCAATGAATATCTGAAGTGCTTTGACAAAAAATCCATACAAAATGTCATCAGTGGAAGCCGTAGCGCTGTAAAAAGCACGACCAATCAACTGAGCCGGCCCGGCTAAAGTAACTGGATGGCCTACCTGCCTGTCAGCCTTCCATCTGTGCACAAACTTATCTTGTGCCCTCATTGGTCATGTGCGCGTTCGTGTGTGTTGGAGGAGGGGCTCTGTAAGGAAGTGGCAGATTTTTTCCGGTTGTGTATTTTCAAATTCTAGCGCACTCGAGCTGGTTTCTCCAAAATTACCTACCCCACCTTTAACTGTTCAATTATTGGCGAATATGATCCAATATTAGCGGCAACATACTGGATGTAGATGCATTAGTATTTGGCTCTATGGAGCCTCTAGACTTCTACTGAGGTTACTCACCAGTGACGTTGAGCCAGCAATTCTTAGAGCTACTCCCATCAGATGTGTGTATGTCACACACATAAAACCCAGAGTCCTTGGTCCTGAGTCTGGAGACATGAAATGTGAGGCGTCCTTCTGTGAGGACGTCTTTGTCCCACTGGAGTCGTTCTGTAAACTCTGGATCCTGAGACACTCGGGTTTCAACACCTTCATGGAGTTCAAACAGTATTGAGATTAGCTTTTTATTAAACAGGTGACAGATGGTAGAAATGGAGCTGAAGTTAGTGTCTGTTCTGGTGCTGAAGGTCCACTCCAGGGTGATGTTCTGGTTCTCCTCTGCCTGATAGAAAGTCTGAGTCACATTCACTACAAATGTTCCTGTGGAGGAAACACAGAGGGACTCTTTAAACTGTGGATATGTTCCTGTGGAGGAGACACAGAGGGACTCTTTAAACTGCAGCTATATGTTCTGTGGAGGAGACACAGAGGGACTCTTTAAACTGCAGCTATGTTCCTGTGGAGGAGACACAGAGGGACTCTTTAAACTGCAGCTATGTTTCTGTGGAGGAGACACAGAGGGACTCTTTAAACTGCAGCTATGTTCCTGTGGAGGAGACACAGAGGGACTCTTTAAACTGCAGCTATGTTCCTGTGGAGGAGACACAGAGGGACTCTTTAAACTGCAGCTATGTTCCTGTGGAGGAGACACAGAGGGACTCTTTAAACTGCAGATATGTTCCTGTGCTGCTTTACTGAGAACAGCTTTAAAGAGACAAACTGACCAGAGACACAGGCGGTGAGGAAGAGGAGCTGCAGGATGAGGAAGATCATCTTCTTCCTGTGAGAGGACACACACACACACATCAAATGTCACACATTATAAAACATGCAGTCTGTCTTTACCACGTGCCTTATTAGGACTTGACACCAGGAACAGTAACATATGTCTGACACTAGGTGGCGCCATATATCAACATTATATTTAATTTGGACTGAACCAGGAAATACTTTCTGCTTTGAGATCAGAGAACACAGCAGAGCTTTTGCATTAATGCACAGCAGTATAATAATATAGTTGTTAGTATTGCTGTGTGTGTGAGATTCTTTCGGTCTCCACTTTCTGCACTATGATAACATTTCATACATCATCATGTTTTTCTGTATCAAAAATGCCTGTGAATGTTAAAACTCATGACCAGTTACAATATAAACACTATGTCTCTTGTTTAACAGCCATGTTGTCACTGTTCCACCTCTTGACTGTATTTGGTGTAAATAAAGTGGCAAACCAAGTCCAGTCTGCAGTACAGCTTCACATATATATATGTATAGGATCAGGAGGGGACATTGACAGAGGATCACAAAAAAACACAGTTAAAGTACTTCATTGTATTGTTGGTACTAGGCGTACTACTACAGAGTCCAGCATTATCAATTTCATTAAGAACTAATGGTTCATTTTACTCATCAAAGACAGCAGTAAACATGCATTATGTATGACGGGGACTGTGACAGAGGATAACTCAGAAAGTACACAGTGAGTACTTCATTTTATTTCTGGGAGCAGTCAAACTAGTACCGAGTTCAACAGTGTCAGTTTTATCAAGAACTTATAGTAACACATATTCGTATCACTCATTAAATATACCAGGGGGAAAAAACGAAGTTGACCGCAGTCCAGAATTGCTGTATAGTTTAAATCTCCTAACAATGTTGTCCATTTTAGACAGACTTATTATGTTTACAGCCCGCCCCTTAATCAGTGGCGTAGGCAGATATCAAAGAGTGGGTGGGCCCAAAACAAATCAGGTGGGCCCAGCCCGTTCAAGACCATACATACTTAATATGTCCTAAAACTTATGTTAACTGAAATAAGTCAGAATGGACCTCCTTGAGTTCTCCGATTGGTTGGTTTTGTGGCACATTTGTTGTGAGAAGGCTGAGAGTCAATTGTGCTTTCAAAATATATTTTTCTGTGCTCAACAATGTTAAATTGCGCGCTCAATAACATCTGATATGCTCAAAATGTTTAACTGCGTGCTCAGGATAGAGGCACACAAATATTACCATAGCCGAGAAATCCTCCACGCGTGATGGGATGGGAAGGTTATGCTGTCGGCTGTGCGTGGTGAGGAAAAGCTGGTTCAAGGAGCCCCCAGTGAATGTTTGCCTAAGGCCCCCACAGACACTAGAATCGGCACTGGTTAAGGATGTTGTGTTTTTTCATCAAATCATCTGTCAGTGTCACAAGTTTAATGAAGTCAGCTTCTGTTTTCCTCAATGAGGTGTAGTTTTCCTAAAGACCATCGATTAGATCGATGCAATCTGTGACTGGTTATAGTGGAACATTGCAGGCCTTTTGTTGCGTAGTCGCTCATTTCAAACAGCCTGTGGAACATGACGAGAATAAACACAAATATATTTGTGATGAGTAAAGAAGTGCAATTTGCAGTATCTCATTCTGGATATCGGGGCTTGTAGCCTACATGTCCCGTTCCCCGGCAGGTCGTCCAGTCGCCGTTTTATGTCTGGGTCATAGTAAGAGAATCTATCGATAAGATTTATGATTCGAACATTATAAAGGGTAGACATGTGGATATTATCCGGCTGAACAAAACGTGCATTTATCAAGCAGGTTCGTTTTCCACATACCTTATTTCGAGCTCTTTTCCAAAATCCTATGGAGCAATCTCAGGCCCACCCACAGCTACGCGTATGCCCTTAATAGCATTATTTTTATTGGCTCAATGTGTGTTTTGATCGTTTTCGTTGTGATCGCTAAATTCTCCTTGTTTCCCCTGGTTTATAATATTATCACCGGATACTGTGTAGTGATTCAATGCAAGTGTATTTAAGCAAACGAGTGCTTTTGTTTTGAAATCACTTCCGTGAGTTTCTCCCCCCCGCTCCAATGACCATTTCACTATTTAGTAAGTTAAAAATCAAAAAGCCTCTCAGACACTCTTCCGTTTACTGGTTTAATGAAGAAAAACAAATGGTCCTAAGATACAAGGATTGTTTCTGAGTCAATATCTTTCCAACTCGTTCTCTTATCTTGGTTTAATGTGGTGAATGTTCTCTAGAAGAGGTTCAACAGGAGAGAAACAGAAAGCAGCAGTGAGATACATTTCCTTCATAAAGTAGAAACGTGTGTTCTTACCTGTAAAGCTTTGAGACTGCGGAGACCTCAGTGCTTACAGTTCTGTCTTCTAGATGATATCATGGTGAATAGGTCTGATCACAACAACAATGAGTATTTCACAACTAAAGTTACAGAGGGGGCGTTTCCAACGAGGCTGTCTTGTTGCAGCCAGGATTGGCAGAATGTGTTTCCTGTGGTCTGAGCAGCAGCCAATAAACGTCCTGATGTGAAGCATGTGGTCTGCATGCTGGAGTTTCATTGGTTGATGTGAGACCTGTCTGTTTGATAGGAGAGTCCCTTGTTAAACATTGTTAGGGAAATATTTTCCTGCACCGATAACTTTTCCCAGTTCATTAGGTTTTACCAGGGGCGTTTCCCGGACCTGGTTTAGCCCCTAATGTTTCCACCTTTAAAAATACTTGATTTTCCAAATAAATCATAAACTATGTAAAATGATTAGAAGTTGTTAGTAATTAGATTAAACAGAAAAAAGGGATGGAAGAAGGAAACAAGTTCATTGATTACATTTTTGATTAATACAGCGAGGAGGCGGACATTAGATAAATGGGAAACGTTCAATGTCTCTAACACACCTGCACAGGTAACACAGCCGCGGGGGGGCATGCTGACTCCTATCACTCCCTAATCCTATATTATATTTTATATATATTTTATCTATCTTATTTGATCAATTAAAGGGATGTATTTAAGGAGGAAACATTTTAAAGAGGCCGATCCTGCTCAAGTTCAGGTTGATTAGTATTTAGTGCTTCGAAAAAAAGTCAACTCTGAGAAAAAAGTAAAATACAATAAATAATTCAAATTATGGAAAAAAAAGTAAATTTCTGGAGAAAAAAGTTAAATTATGAAAAAAGAGTCTAATTATTAGTGAAGTCTATTCTACTTTAGTACTTTTAGTTCAACCCGAAATTTTGAACCACTCAAATCTATTCAACAAAAAGTTGTGCTGTAATATATACGCTTTTCAGCATACGATATTAATGAAAGTGAAGTACAGTGCATATATCCCTCATATCCCTTCAGAGAACTAAAGTATGCTTTTAAAAGGTTTAATGAGATGATGGAATCAAACATAGAAAGGCACACATGCTGAAAACCCAACCCCAGCAGGGGGTCTGGGGGGAGTCTTCCCCAGGAGATTTTTAGAAATACTAACATATAAACTACGCATTCTGGTACTCTGAGAAGAAAATAAATAAATCTATTACTACCCGAGATATTAATAACATTTTCTGCCATTGTTTGTTTTACACTTTGTTCTGACAGCTGAACTTGCTGCTCCACACAGAGAGAAGAGCAAAGAGGAGAGAGTCTGTGTGAATTACTTTAAATGATGGGTAAGGGTAGATAGCACCCATCGTTCTGTGACCTGTCAATCAATCATCAAACCGGGGGTCATATTTCATTATGTGTTACTTTCTATCTGAAGTTGTATGTCACAATCTGTCTGTGCTGTGTGGTGTCTTGTCTTTTTCTGTCTTTGGTTTCATGTTTGATTTTGAAAAGTCTTCACCCCCTGTTTCTCCTCCCTCCTCACCTGTGTCTTGTTTGTGTGATTAGTCTTGTGTGTATTTAAGTTCTGGTTTTTCTGTGTGTCATTGTTGGTTCATTGTTTGTCGTTGACATGTGTTCACGAGGTTTGTTCCTTAAAGACCTTGAAATAAAGGTATTTTTTCCTGTTTATTCTGCATTTGGATCCTGCCTGCTTCACACACCCTAACAGAATGAACCAACCACAAATGGACCCAGCAGATGATCCATTTGAGGTAGAATTACAACATTTTACCTTTTTTTTGGCTTGCTGCTTTGATTGGTGGAAGCGAGCGTCCAGTGTTCGGCAGAAGAGGGCCGCTCTGGTAGAGGTGCACCGGTTGGCAACAGAGAAACCATGTTTAGTTAAGTTCTTACCTGACTGGATTTTGGACTTCCTTTCGACATGTGATTCCCGGCCTGCTAGCCCCAGGCATGCTAGCCCCCTGCCTCCCAATTCCCAACCCCTGCTTCTTCCCCAGTTCCTGCTCCTGTCCAGGAGCCGTTCTCGGGTACTCGTCTGGCTTTTGGAGGTCCACGGAGCCTCCAAAAGGCTCCTAAGCGAAGGAGTCGCAGGTCCAGGCTAGCAGCCCGAGCCCCAGAAGCCATGCTTTGGGCTCCAGTACAGGCCCCAGCAGCCTTGGTTCCGTGCTCCAGTGCCGGTCCACACAGCCATGGTTCCGTGCTCCAGTGCCGGTCCACACAGCCATGGTTCCGTGCTCCAGTGCCGGTCCACACAGCCATGGTACCGCGCTTCAGTACCATCCCACACAGCCATGGTTCCGTGTTCCGGTTCCATGCCCAGCAGCCATGGTGCCTGCTCCAGTACCGGCCCACACAGCCATGGTTCCGGCTTCAGAAACGGCCCTCACAACCATGGTTCCAGCCCCAGTTCTGGCCCCAGAAGTCATGGTTCCAGCCCCAGTTCTGGCCCCAGCAGCCATGGTTCCAGCCCCAGTTCTGGCCCCAGCAGCCATGGTTCCAGCCTCAGTTCTGGCCCACAAAGCCATGGATCCGTGCACCAGCACCTGGCTCACACAGCCAGAGTCCAGGCTTCTGTTCCATGCACAACAGCCATGGTTCCGGCTCCAGAACCGGCCCCAGCAGCCATGGTTTCGGCTCCAGTACTGGCTCTCCGGCCGACGCCAGCTCCCTGTGTCCTGTCGTCGTACCGACCGACTCCAGCTCCTCGTCTCCTGTTGGCTCTCCGGCCGAATCCCCAGCTCCCCGTGTCCTGTCGGCGTACCGGCCGACGCCAGCTCCCCGTGTCCTGTTTAATTATTCGATGCTGCCATCGCTCCGCTTTTGTCATTGAGTATTTTACAACGAGTGAAACAGCACCCCTCTGGATGTTATGGTGAAACGCGGTATTGCACCCACTTAGATTGGTCCATTTCAGAATAATATATATATGTTTTATAATGATTGATGATGATTGCTAAGCTAGGAGGAATAAGGGCAAGGGGTTAGTTGATTAGGAGTTGAAGGCAAGAGTGAAAAGGTGAGTTTTGAGGGATTGTTTGAATGATGTGAGAGTGTTGGCAGATCTGACGTGGCTGGGGAGGGAGTTCCAGACTGAGGGGGGAGGCTGCTGCGAAGGCCCTGTCACCCCAGGTCCGGAGCTTTGTCCTGATGGGCTGCATGCTGAATGACTTTGTATACATGCAGGGTAGCTTGTGAATTTACTCCAGGTGGAACTAAAGTCTGATTTAACACTTGATTAGATTTCACAGCATTCATCCACATCTGTAAAATAACTAAAAGGTATTAAATACATGTAGTGGAGGAAAAGTACACAATTTACCTCTGAATTGTAGTGGAGTAGAAGTGCAAAGTAGCATAATTGGAAATACTCAAGTAAAATACAAGTACCTCAAAATTGTACTTCCCACATCTGGGCCACAGGAAAACACTCTGTATTTAGAATGACGCGCAGTCAGTTAGCTCGTCCCTGTTTCTGATTGGTTAGATGTTGCTAACCCCGCCCATTTCCTGTATCCGAGCTGAGAAACTCTCGGTTGATTCACCGAGATCCCAGTTGTTAGTGAAGCCAGAAAACTCAGAGATATCCAGGGTCTGTTGGACTGTGTGTTTGTAGAGTTTGTTAAACAGGAGACCAACACAAAGCAGCAGTGAGAGACATTTCAATCATAAAGTAGAAACATGTGTTCTTACCTTTTAACACGTGAGACTGCAGAGAGAGGGCTGTCTTCTGGATTTCATGTCTTACTATGTCCGGCGCAGTCCGGGAAAGACAGGAGGAGTATTCATGAAATTCAGCTCGAGTTACAGTGCAGCTGATACAAGGCTCATAATGGGAGGAGCAGAGGAAGGAGACAACTCCCTTGATGGGAAGCATGCGTCTCACTGGGAGAACACCTACTCACACCCTCTGTGAACAGGGACGTGCACAGACATTTGGAGGGGCTATTGCTCTGAACTGGGAAAAGGGCCTCCCCCCCGATAAAGACCTTTTGAAAATTGTAACTTGTTTTTAATGTAAAATAAACCAAACGATTATTACATCAACTAGATTGAACAGTAATTCACATCTCATAACAAAATAAGCTAAGGCGACTACTTGCATTCGGTGACTTGATTTTAAAAATTAAAAACAGGGACATGTTTTGTTTTGCGGTCCATATCTCATTAACATATCTAATGTTAGTAACTATTAAAGACAAAATGGTGACAATTCTGTTATAATGTAGTTTGACCAGACCATTGTAACTGCTGTGCAGACATGCTGATAAAATAGGGCCTCTAACTAATTACCTTAAATAAACTCACTAATTAATGAAACCAGTTCAATACACATTATTCTTATCATTCTTTATGAGCGCAGTAACGGTAGGTATCTAATTACTTATTTATATAGTTTTCCATAACTTAATAACAGAGATGGTCAAACTAAAGTAGAGACATGGCAGAAATCCTACAATGAAGCGGGACATTGAACTGTTCACCCGTGAGAGGGCGATCAAGAAAAGAGAGCGAGCGACCCGTTGAGCGAGTTTACAGATGAGAAGACTCAGAAAGACAGAAGCACAATAACAACAAGTAGGCTATATTTAGGTGTTTTTTGTAAATAACTGACGGTATCAAGAGGACGTAAAGTCCCCTGGTTTGTCCCTTATACCCTGACTGCCATGAGACAACTCAAAATCAAGTTTCCAAAATCCGACACTGAGGTGGTCTTAACGCAGCGGCAGATGACAGCGCTGACAAAGTGTGTTTCCCGCAGCGAGACGCTACAATACTAATTGTGGGCTCATCATGGTGATTCGGCCACAACAGACAAAATAAAAACAAACTCTCGCTCTCTCCAGAGGGGCAGGTCAGCCAAAAAGGCAAAACGGGCCGTTGCCCGGGCAACATTAACCCGTACCTGTGCACGTCCCTGTCCCAGACTATCTTTTACATCCGTAAATCTGTGCCCCTTTTACACATATGCAATTTTGGATTTGTAGTTTGTGTTTGCATATTTATAAAGTATCTTACAAGGGTTGTTGTCGTTTTTGTTCTGCTGTTCCTCCCCTATAGTGTCGAAGAAGATGCTGGTGCTTCCGATGGACTGGAGGTATTTTCCGCTGGGTCTCCGATCAGCAACAGCCCACTGTACCCATAGAGTCCAGTAGAGGGCGGAGCCTGTGTGAGATAGGTTATTTATTGTAACCCTAGTTCTATAAGCACAGGCGGAGCCCTCTACCTAGGGGCCCTGTCTTTCCTATGCTGCTCGCTGAAGAGGGTGTAGGATGACAGTCAGGAGGTGTAGCTGCTTTATATACTGTGAGGCCTGCGCTCGCATTCAGATAGGCTCGCCCTGATTGGCCGGCTACGATTATGCAAATTCAGTGTGTGAACGCTTGCGTATCATTGATGAAGAGTAGTCCCCGTAGAGTCCAGTAGAGGGCTCCGCCTGCGCTTATAGAACTAGGGTTGCAATACGTAACCTGTCGTTTCGTTGAATAGGACTACAGAAGTTGTCGAGGACGTTGTACATCATTACGCTGAACACGTAAACACTCCCGCTAAGTTTGTTTGCCGTGTTCTGCATGAAAGCAAGTACCTGCCTCCTACTAACTGTCAAAACAAACGCTTCAACTTGTATCATTTTGAATCTGTGTGTTTGAATACGGATCTTGAGTTGGCGGGACGTTGAAGTCGTGCTGCTGTACTCGGCTGTAGTTCCTTTATAGCGTAACGTTAGCATTTTGCTTCTGGCGATTAGATTTATGATTAGAAAATGATAAAAGTAGGGTAGACATGTGGAGATTATCCGGCTGAACAAAACAAGCATTTATCAAACAGGTTTGTTTTCCACAGACCTTATTTCGAGCTCTTTTCCAAAATCCTATGGAGAAATCCCATTGCTTTTTTGTCGAGGGAACCAGCAGCTCACTTCCGGGTAAATACGTCATCCCTGCACCGCTCTATTCAAGGCAGCTGCAGTGTTCATGAAACAGAGAGACATGAGGATGAACAATAGCGTTAAAGAATAAACACTTTTATTATAACAAAGGAATAATACATTTACAACATTTACAAATCGATCTAATTTAACATTTCCAAATATTTCCTCCTGTAAGACATGCAGTGCAGATTGTGCAGAATAAGTAAAAAAGTAAATAAAAAGTGATTTATTTATAATGTGTAACATTTATAAAAGCACATTAAAGGTGGGGTAGGTAAGTTGGAGAAACCGGCTCGAGATACACTTGTTGTTATATTCCATGGAATGCTCTTAACATCCCGATAGCAATGAATATCTGAAGTGCTTTGACAATAAATCCATAAATAAATGTCATCAGTGGAAGCCGTGGCGCTGTAAAAAGCACGACCAATCATCTGAGCCGGCCAAAGTAACTGGATGGCCTACCTGCCTGTCAGCCTTCCATCTGTGCACACATTTATCTCGTGCCCTCATTGGTCATCTGCGCGTTCGTGTGTGTTGGAGGAGGGGCTCTGTGAGGAAGTGGCAGATTTCTTCCGGCTGTGTATTTTCAAATTCTAGCGCACTCGAGCTGGTTTCTCCAAAATGACCTACCCCACCTTTAAATGCAGCATGGTAACAATATCCATCAGTAAACACAGGGTTTGATGACCTTACAGCTGAATGATCAAACTCACATTGAAGGCTGAAATAAATAATTATAAATATGACACTTTACAGAGGTTACACTGAGGTATTTTCTGACTCTTAAATCAGATGTTGGATGGTCTCACTTTATGCTCAGATTGAGTATGTATATATATATATATATATATGTAAGTCCGGATGGTTTGTTTCTCTGATAAATTCCCCGTATGTATGGCTGCATTGTGGGTTCTTCTCTTATATCTTATTAAAACAATGTAGGCCATGCTGACAAAGAGAACCAGAACAGCTGCTGAAACTCCAACGATAAGCCAGAGTCCTCTCAGACTCTCTGGTTGTGGACTCTCTGTTGGTCTCTGAGGTTCGAGCTCTTTAGCAGCTGTGGAAAAGGACAGCAAATTACATGAGGAACCATTTTAGTGTTAATAAATAACAGGTTTAATCTAGAGTGAAAACATGACAATCTGCAACCTTCATTCTTCTGAAAAACATCCTGTGGTTCCAGCTTCTCAGTCTCCCCTTTTCCACTAAAATGAGTTCTGTGTGGGGCTGGTTTGGATCACAGTTGGTTTGTGAGAAGAGATTTATTCTTAAATGAGTTGTGAACATTTTAAACCATTAAAACAAGCCGTTCTTAAGATTTGAGCAGCAGGACTCTTTTGGTCTTTCATTCACACTTTGTTGAGTATCTGCCATTTCCTTTTCAATATATTAAAGATGGGGTAGGTAAGTTTGAGAAACCGGCTCGAGATACACTTGTTGTTATATTCCATGGAATGCTCTTAGCATCCAGATAGCAATGAATATCTTAAGTGCTTTGACAAAAAATCCATTAAAAAATGTCATCAGTGGAAGCCGTGGTACTGTAAAAAGCACGACCAATCAACTGAGCCGGCCCGGCTAAAGTAACTGGATGGCCTACCTGCCTGTCAGCCTTCCATCTGTGCACAAACTTATCTTGTGCCCTCATTGGTCATGTGCGCGTTCCTGTGTGTTGGAGGAGGGGCTCTGTAAGGAAGTGGCAGATTTCTTCCGGTTGTGTATTTTCAAATTCTAGCGCACTCGAGCTGGTTTCTCCAAAATTACCTACCCCACCTTTAACTGTTCAATTATTGGCGAATGTGATCCAATATTAGCGGCAACATACTGGATGTAGATGCATTAGTATTTGGCTCTATGGAGCCTCTAGACTTCTACTGAGGTTACTCACCAGTGACGTTGAGCCAGCAATTCTTAGAGCTACTCCCATCAGATGTGTGTATGTCACACACATAAAACCCAGAGTCCTTGGTCCTGAGTCTGGAGATATGAAATGTGAGGCGTCCTTCTGTGAGGACGTCTTTGTCCCACTGGAGTCGTCCTGCAAACTGTGGATCCTGAGACACTCGGGTTTCAACACCTTCACGTAGTTCAAACAGGACTGAGATTCGCTTTTTATTAAACAGGTGACAGATGGTAGAAATGGAGCTGAAGTTAGTGTCTGTTCTGGTGCTGAAGGTCCACTCCAGGGTGATGTTCTGGTTCTCCTCTGCCTGATAGAAAGTCTGAGTCACATTCACAAAAAATGTTCCTGTGGAGGAGACACAGAGGGACTCTTTAAACTGCAGCTATGTTCCTGTGGAGGAGACACAGAGGGACTCTTTAAACTGCAACCGTGTTTCTGTGGAGGAGACACAGAGGGACTCTTTAAACTGCAACTATGTTCCTGTGGAGGAGACACAGAGGGACTCTTTAAACTGCAGCTATGTTCCTGTGGAGGAGACACAGAGGGACTCTTTAAACTGCAGCTATGTTCCTGTGGAGGAGACACAGAGGGACTCTTTAAACTGCAACTATGTTCCTGTGGAGGAGACACAGAGGGACTCTTTAAACTGCAGCTATGTTCCTGTGGAGGAGACACAGAGGGACTCTTTAAACTGCAGCCATGTTTTTGTGGAGGAGACACAGAGGGACTATTTAAACTGCAGCTATGTTCCTGTGGAGGAGACACAGAGGGACTCTTTGAACTGCAGCTATGTTCCTGTGGAGGAGACACAGAGGGACTCTTTAAACTGCAGCTATGTTCCTGTGGAGGAGACACAGAGGGACTCTTTGAACTGCAGCTATGTTCCTGTGGAGGAGACACAGAGGGACTCTTTAAACTGCAGCTATGTTCCTGTGAAGGAGACACAGAGGGTTGATATGTGAAGCTCATTAGCTAGCCAACATGTATCTAGCAAATGTTTAGCAAAATATTAGAAGTGAGGCTACTAGACTAACGTTAGGTCTACTGTAATAGCCTCACTTTTAATAGTTTGCAAAACATTTGCTAGCACTAGTGTTTTGCAGTTGCTAGCAGCTTATTGAGATGTTATGCTAGATAGACAGATATAATAAATTAAGCATTATTGTTAGTTAAGCATGTCAGCCTGCAGCCCCACTTCTTGTCTCTCTCTCTAACTCATTGCAGATGACTGCACTAAAGAAAAGGGCACAGAGAGGAAACCAGGTGTAAGATGTTTAAATATGCATTAAACATAATATATGCTTAAATGCCTTTCAAAGAAGTTATGTTGGAGTTTGTGTTATTCTACATTTTGACACCAAGATTTTCTGATTTTACTGCAAATGTATATTGGTTCCAAATATCGGTTATCGGTCTCCTTGATTACTAATAATCGGTATCGGCCTTGAAAAAGCCATATCGGTCGATCCCTACTTTAAACTGCAGCTTTGTTCCTGTGGAGGAGACACAGAGGGACTCTTTAAACTGCAGCTATGTTCCTGTGGAGGAGACACAGAGGGACTCTTTAAACTGCAGCTATGTTCCTGTGGAGGAGACACAGAGGGACTCTTTAAACTGCAGCTTTGTTCCTGTGGAGGAGACACAGAGGGACTCTTTAAACTGCAGCTATGTTTCTGTGGAGGAGACACAGAGGGACTCTTTAAACTGCAGATATGTTCCTGTGCTGCTTTACTGAGAACAGCTTTAAAGAGACGAACTGACCAGAGACACAGGAGGTGAGGAAGAGGAGCTGCAGGATGAGGAAGATCATCTTCTTCCTGTGAGAGGACACACACACACATATCAAATGTCACACATTATAAAACATGCAGTCTGTCTTTACCACGTGCCTTATTAGGACTTGACACTAGGAACAGTAACATATGTCTGACACTAGGTGGCGCCAGATATCAACATTATATTTAATTTGAACTGAACCAGGAAATACTTTCTGCTTTGAGATCAGAGAACACAGCAGAGCTTTTGCATTAATGCACAGCAGTATAATAATATAGTTGTTAGTATTGCTGTGTGTGTGAGATTCTTTCGGTCTCCACTTTCTGCACTATGATAACATTTCATACATCATCATGTTTTTCTGCATCAAAAATGCCTGTGAATGTTAAAACTCATGACCAGTTACAATATAAACACTATGTCTCTTGTTTAACAGCCATGTTGTCACTGTTCCACCTCTTGACTGTATTTGGTGTAAATAAAGTGGCAAACCAAGTCCAGTCTGCAGTACAGCTTCACATATATATATGTATAGGATCAGGAGGGGACATTGACAGAGGATCACAAAAAAACACAGTTAAAGTACTTCATTGTATTGTTGGTACTAGGCGTACTACTACAGAGTCCAGCATTATCAATTTCATTAAGAACTAATGGTTCATTTTATTTGTATCACTCATCAAAGACAGCAGTAAACATGCATTATGTATGACGGGGACTGTGACAGAGGATAACTCAGAAAGTACACAGTAAGTACTTCATTTTATTTCTGGGAGCAGTTTAACTAGTACCGAGTTCAACAGTGTCAGTTTTATCAAGAACTTATAGTAACACATATTCGTATCACTCATCCATACAGCAGTCCAGAATTGCTGTATAGTTTAAATCTCCTAACAATGTTGTCCATTTTAGACATAGCCTTATTATTTTTACAGCCCGCCCCTTAATCAGTGGCGTAGGCAGATATCAAAGAGTGGGTGGGCCCAAAACAAATCAGATGGGCCCAGCCCGTTCAATGTTAACTGTAATAAGCCAGTCAGAATGGACCTCCTTGAGTTCTCCGATTGGTTGGTTTTGTGGCACATTTGTTGTGAGAAGGCTTAGAGTCAATTGTGCTTGCAAAATATATTTTTCTTAGGGCTGTCAAGTTAATGCGTTAATAACGCGTTAACGCAAAAAAAAATTAACGCCACTAATTATTTTAACACGATTAACGCATGTGTATTTTTTTCCTCGGCCGCCCTGTAGTTTCAGAGCGCATCGAGTTTAAAATACCATCTACAAGCTGATGCGGACAGCCCCGCTTTTGCTGCCTGCTTGTGGCAGACCACACTTCCACGCTCACCAGCAGGCACCGACTGGCCATCGGGAGGACCGGCAGGGCGTGTGTATGTGTGGCTCGAGCGAGAGAGACACCTTACGTGTATTGCTGTTGTTAGCATCTGGTGCTAGCTAGCTGCGCTAACGGATATAAGGAGCTGTTTAAATGAAAACAGAGGAGCGACATTTCGCCACAACTGCACCGAGCACTTGACTTTATGCAGGTAGCCAGACAGCGGGACATTGTACGAAAAGTCAGCACACTCAGCACGGATAGTGCGCAACATGATTGCAGCGTCCAGGCAGCTCCCGTTCGAGCATATGGCTTGAGTTGCACATAGCTCCAACGAACACACACACACACACACACACACACACACAGAGGTTCAGAGGTTGTTGTGTTTAATATTCATGAGAATATTTGTCATTGTTCAAATGGTAATAAACATTAGCATAAAGCATATTTGTCTACTCATATGTTGATAAGAGTATTAAAAACTTGAAAAATATTCCTCTGAGGTACATTTAGAACAGATACAAAATGTGCGATTAATTTGCGATTAATCGCGATTAACTATTTGAATCGACTGACAGCCCTAGTTTTTCTGTGCTCAACAATGTTAAATTGCGCGCTCAATAACATTTGATATGCTCAAAATGTTTAACTGCGTGCTCAGGATAGAGGCACACAAATATTGACATAGACGAGAACACCTCCACGAGTGATGGGATGGGAAGGTTATGCTGTCGGCTGTGCGTGGTGAGGAAAAGCTGGTTCGAGGAGCCCCCAGTGAATGTTTGCCTAAGGCCCCCACAGACACTAGAATCGGCACTGGTTAAGGATGTCGTGTTTTTTCATCAAATCATCTGTCAGTGTCACAAGTTTAATGAAGTCAGCTTCTGTTTTCCTCAATGAGGTGTAGTTTTCCTAAAGACCATCGATTAGATCGATGCAATCTGTGACTGGTTATAGTGGAACATTGCAGGCCTTTTGTTGCGTAGTCGCTCATTTCAAACAGCCTGTTGAACATGACGAGAATAAACACAAATATATTTGTGATGAGTAAAGAAGTGCAATTTGCAGTATCTCATTCTGGATATCGGGGCTTGTACATGTCCCGTTCCCCGGCAGGTCGTCCAGTTGCCATTTTATGTCTGGGTCATAGTAAGAGAATCTATCGATTAGATTTATGATTCGAACATTATAAAAGTAGGGTAGACATGTGGATATTATCCGGCTGAACAAAACGTGCATTTATCAAGCAGGTTCGTTTCCACATACCTTATTTCGAGCTCTTTTCCAAAATCCTATGGAGCAATCTCAGGCCCACCCACAGCAAAAAGCCTCTCAGACACTCTTCCGTTTACTGGTTTAATGAAGAAAAACAAATGGTCCGAAGATACACGGATTGTTTCTGAGTCAATATCTTTCCAACTCGTTCTCTTATCTTGGTTTAATGTGGTGAATGTTCTCTAGAAGAGGTTCAACAGGAGAGAAACAGAAAGCAGCAGTGAGATACATTTCCTTAACCCTTGTGTGGTGTTTGGGTCAAATTGACCCGATTTCCATTTTCAATGAATAAAAAAAAATATAAGGATATTTTCGTTCAACCTGAAACTCAATGGCCGCGGCTCATTTATTGTGAAGGACATGTGGAATTGTTTTTATTTTTTTCCACTGCCCACCTGCATTTATGTCCTTCATAAGAGGTTCGGGTCAATCTGACCCGGATACAATACCAGGACAGACAGACAGAGAAAAACACACAGAAACACACAAACTAAAGACACACACACACACACACACACACACACACACACACACACACACACACACACACACAAACACACACACACACACACACACAATTGTATGCATAGAGAAGCTGTTTGATCCTGTTTTCCCTTGATCTTTACCCTTTGTAGTGTGTACACAAAACTATCCTAGAACATTATAAACATTTTAGATCTTCCAGAAATGTATAAACATTTTACATTTTCTCGCACTGCGAGGGGCACCTGCACGCCGGAGGAGGGACTAAACAGAGACATAACCTCAGTGTAGTAACAGTGTAGTGCAGAACTACAATTATCTACCAACAAAATGGCCAAAATATATTCTGCTCAGAGAGTCTTGGAGCTAATACTGGATGAGAGTGAGTGGAATGCATTAGAGGAACACGGTGAAGTGGAACAGGAAGACATTTCTGAAGATGAGGATGATGTGGAGGTAAACTCAGAATTTGACAGCAAATTGGAAGATGAACTTGACTCAGAGCCAGCTGCTGGAAGACCCCCACAGCCAGCCGCAAGAAGAACCCCACAGCCAGCCGCAAGAAGACCCCCACAGTCAGCTGCTGGAAGACCCCCACAGCCAGCTGCTGAAAGACCCCCACAGCCAGCTGCTGGAAGACCCCCACAGCCAGCTGTGAGGTCTGAGGACCCTCAAAGGACTCCAAGACACAGACTACATGCAGCAACTGCAACAAGTACATCTGTGCTGTACACACGAAGAAGTTCTGAACATCATGTGTTTCCTAAACGGACTTGCCCATTGACTCACATGATGTTCTGCAGCGTCACTTCATCAATATAGTTTTCGGATATACTGTATTTTATGAATAGTGACTGTTAATTGTTTTTATTTGCTTTGTGTTTATATATCTGTTCTGTCATTTATATGGATGTTTCATTCTCTCTATATTTCACAGCCAAATACTTTTGGATGTGGTTCTTGTTCCAATTGCTGCTAAATTGCTTTATTTCTTTCAGGGCTTTGATTATTATATGACAGATTAAAAATAATAAACATTAATGAAAAAATGTTTCATTTACATTTGTCCTAGAAAAGCATGAGCAAAATGTAAACTTAGTTTTTTTTACAGTGTATTTTTTTTAACATAAATTAAATTGTTATCACAAAAAACGCACTTCCATTGTTAAATTTGATCTAGCAAAGAGTATTTTCAAAAACGAATCATATATTTCATTTATATTGTTGGGGAATGAGTTAAAGACAATATATATAAGGAATTGTGCATGTTGAATTTAGTTCTGTATTTTTTTTAAAACTTGAAATATGTCCCGGGTCAATTTGACCCGAACATTACCAAAGGGTGCGAAATATGAACATAACACAAGGGATAATAAAGTAGAAACGTGTGTTCTTACCTGTAAAGCTTTGAGACTGCGGAGACCTCAGTGCTTACAGTTCTGTCTTCTAGATGATATCATGGTGAATAGGTCTGATCACAACAACATGAGTATTTCACAACTAAAATTACAGAGGGGGCGTTTCCAACGAGGCTGTCTTGTTGCAGCCAGGATTGGCAGAATGTGTTTCCTGTGGTCTGAGCAGCAGCCAATAAACGTCCTGATGTGAAGCATGTGGTCTGCATGCTGGAGTCTCATTGGTTGGTGTGAGACCTGTCTGTTTGATAGGAGAGTCCCTTGTTAAACATTGTTAGGGAAATATTTTCCTGCGCCCATAACTTTTCCCAGTTCATTAGGTTTTACCAGGGGCGTTTCCCGGACCTGGTTTAGCCCCAAATATTTCCACCTTTAAAAATACTTGATTTTCCAAATAAATCATAAACTATGTACAATTATTAGAAGTTGTTAGTAATTAGATTAAACAGAAAAAAGGGATGGAAGAAGGAAACAAGTTCATTGATTACATTTTTGATTAATACAGCGAGGAGGCGGAAATTAGATACATGGGAAACGTTCAATGTCTCTAACATCGTTCTGTGACCTGTCAATCATCAAACCGGGGGTCATATTTCATCATGTGTTCATTTTTATCTGAAGTTGTATGTCACAATCTGTCTGTGCTGTGTGGTGTCTTGTCTTTTTCTGTCTTAGGTTTCATGTTTTATTTTGAAAAGTCTTCACCCCCTGTGTTTTCTCCTCCCTCCTCACCTGTGTCTTGTTTGTGTGATTAGTCTTGTGTGTATTTAAGTTCTGGTTTTTCTGTGTGTCATTGTTGGTTCATTGTTTGTCGTTGACATGTGTTCACGAGGTTTGTTCCTTAAAGACCTTGAAAAAAGGTATTTCTTCCTGTTTATTCTGCATTTGGATCCTGCCTGCTTCACACACCCTAACAGAATGAACCAACCACAAATGGACCCAGCAGATGATCCATTTGAGGTAGAATTACAACATTTACCTTTTTTTTGGCTTGCTGCTTTGATTGGTGGAAGGGAGCGTCCAGTATTCGGCAGAAGAGGGCCGCTCTGGTAGAGGTGCACCGGTTGGCAACAGAGAAACCATGTTTAGTTAAGTTCTTACCTGACTGGATTTTGCACTTCCTTTCGACATTTGATTCCCGGCCTGCTAGCCCCAGGCATGCTAGCCCCCTGCCTCCCAATTCCCAACCCCTGCTTCTTCCCCAGTTCCTGCTCCTGTCCAGGAGCCGTTCTCGGGTACTCGTCTGGCTTTTGGAGGTCCACGGAGCCTCCAAAAGGCTCCTAAGCGAAGGAGTCGCAGGTCCAGGCTAGCAGCCCGAGCCCCAGAAGCCATGCTTTGGGCTCCAGTACAGGCCCCAGCAGCCATGGTTCCGTGCTCCAGTGCCGTTCCACACAGCCATGGTTCCGTGCTCCAGTGCCGGTCCACACAGCCATGGTACCGTGCTTCAGTACCATCCCACACAGCCATGGTTCCATGTTCCGGTTGCGTGCCCAGCAGCCATGGTGCCTGCTCCAGTACCGGCCCACACAGCCATGGTTCCGGCTTCAGAACCGGCCCACACAACCATGGTTCCAGCCCCAGTTCTGGCCCCAGCAGTCATGGTTCCAGCCCCAGTTCTGGCCCCAGCAGCCATGGTTCCAGCCTCAGTTCTGGCCCCAGCAGTCATGGTTCCGGCTCCAGAACTGGCCCACAAAGCCATTGATCCGTGCACCAGTACCTGGCTCACACAGCCAGAGTCCAGGCTTCTGTTCCATGCACAACAGCCATGGTTCCGGCTCCAGAACCGGCCCCAGCAGCCATGGTTTCGGCTCCAGTACTGGCTCTCCGGCCGACGCCAGCTCCCTGTGTCCTGTCGTCGTACCGACCGACTCCAGCTCCTCGTCTCCTGTTTGCTCTCCGGCCGAATCCCTAGCTCCCCGGGTCCTGTCTGCGTACCGGCCGACGCCAGCTCCCCATGTCCTGTCGGCATTCCGGCCAGCTCCAGTCCCCCGTGTTCTGTCGGCGAACCGACCGTCTCAAGTCTCCTTTCAAGTCACCTCTCGAGTCCCCTCTCGAATCCCCTCTCGAGTCTCCTATCGAGTTTCATCTCAAGTCCCCTCTCCAGTCCCTACTCAAGTGCCGTTGGAGGTTCCTCTGGGGGTCCTGCCAACTCCATGTCCTGTCCCGTTGGGGGTCCCGTCGACTACTCTTCTGCCGGGGGTCCTGCCAACCCTGTGTCCTGTGCCGTTGGAGGCCCCGCCGATTACTCTTCTGCCGGGGGTCCTGCCAACCCTATGTCCTGTCCCGTTGGAGGTCCCGCCGACAATATATTATATTATTATAATAATTTTTGTTAAATCGTTTTTTTAACCTTGTTTTATTTAATGGTCCTCCTGTAAATCAAGCATTTGATATTGCTGTTAATTTGAGGATAGTTCCGAGGTTCAACGAAAAGGACCCAGACATTTTCTTTGTGTTATTTGAGCGTCTAGCAGAGGCACGAGACTGGTCTGATGTTGAGCGCACCCTTCTGCTTCAGTGTGTCTTCACTGGAAAGGCCCAGGAGGCTTTCGCTGCCATGACTGCTAAACAGTAGCAATTACCAGTTGATGAAAGCTGCTGTACTTCGGGCATTTGAGTTAGTACCTGAGCTTATCTTGCTTGAGCAATTCAAAAGTACCTTGCCTGACCGTGTTGTTACCTACATTAATGAGCAGAAAGTAAACAGAGTTTCAGAGGCAGCCAAGCTGGCAGATGAGTTTACTCTGACCCATAAAGTGTTTTTTGGCGACAGCCGTGGTCGTGGAGATGCGGGATACAAAGAGAGTAGTGAGTGGGCTCACTACAGTGAAGGTGTTGCAGAAGGAAAAGATACATTTCCAGTTAGGATTGACCATGGGAATCGGGGTAAATTTGACCCCAATCGTATCTGTAATTACTGTTTTAATAAAGGACACTGGAGAAACGATTGTCCTGAGTGGAAGAGAAAGTCCAGGCCTGGGGTTGTGTCAGCAAAAGCGTCTGGGGCTGTGGCATCGTTACGTGCAGTGGAAAGGGAAAGTGCCATTGCGGCTGTGCGGAAACACACTCAGTCCTCTTTATCTGAATCGGTAATTCAGGCTCCTGTCAGTGAACATGAGGAGATAGACCCTGGTTATAAAGCTTTTGTGTCTGATGGTTTTGTTTCACTGGTAATGTAATGTAAAGTAAGTATTCTCTCCGCTTCTCTTGACAAACCCCGTGATAGTCCTCAAGCTCTGTGATTGGATGTTTGAGTGTGTGCCGAGGGTTACGCCTGAAGGCACAGAGATCTTCTTTACTGTCCTTTCCTCTTAGAGGAAGTACAGAAACACGTAACTCTGGATTTGTTTTAATGTTTGAGGTGCAATAAACGACACAGCAGCTTTTTGGCATGTTCAAACTATTATTTTCTGCCTCGCTCATGAGAGTAACAGCTGGCGAAATTACAGCCTCGCCTACTGATTTCAAATGTGTGCTCTAAAATGATATTTATAAATGACTATTATCATTATTATAAGCAAGACAATAAATGGCAAAGAAATGTAGAAAATAAACGTATTTGAGATAAGGAACGTAACGTGGGAGAAAATACGTTTTTAGCTAAACGTAATTGAGAATGCAGTTTAGTTCTGTGGGAACGTAATTTTTAGGAGACAGGGTTGCCATAATACATTCTGACAAAAAATACAAATTATTATGAATACAAATAAAATAAAAGAAGCCTCCCGTGAGTTACTACAAGCTATAAAGTAGATTTTAAAAACGTTTTATAGAATAAAAGCTCACTGATGGACGTTGTAGAAATGTGTGTGTGCACCACGACAAAGGAGCCTCATTCACTTTACATTGGGGTTGTTTGCGTGATGCAGACACATAAATGTAGCAAAGTGCGTGACTCCACCACGCAATGCGGTGTTAAGGAGTCGTGGTGGAGTCACGCATTCTGGTGAGATCAGGTTGGTTTATGTTCATATCAATCAGATCTAGCTAGTTCTAGCTAATGCTAGGACTACCTGCTTCTTATCAAAAGACACCTAAATAATAAGCGTCAATATGCAACCGGGTGAGGCCACAAAGTATAGCGCAGCATTATGCATTTGTTTACATGTCCACCGGAACCCCGAGGCATTACCAACAGATCAACGCACAATCAACCCACACAGGACATCTCTTTCTCCACATTAAGTGTTAGACATTAGAATTTACTCTTCTTGTCTGTCACATACTCTTCTTGTCTGTCACATAAGTTGCGCAACTGATGCGGTATTGCCCTAAAGGGAAATTATTTTGACCGGACATTTTGACCGGAGAGATTTAGATTTGCCGATCTTCAGCATATTTTACCGGTCATAGTCCGGTAATTACCGGCTAACGGGAACTCTGGCACACGCTATTTGTTGTTTGTTTATATCACGTAGTCTGTTCTTCTTCTCTGTCTTCCGGTTGTTGCCTCTTTTGAATGACAAATACACACTACCGCTGCCTGCTGGTAAGGAGAGTTATTGCCACTCACGCGTGCTCGGCTGAAGTCTTTGCGGTGTGTTCCAGTGCGACATATGGCCAAGACGCAGGAGAACACGGTGACGCAACAGTCGGCGTCGGCGTCAGCGAGTTCTCTGGTGACTGCTTGGTGTGTCAGGGCCTTTAGGGTTTAACAGTATTGCCAGACACTTTAATATGAACCTGTTCTATTGCAGTTAATTACTGTTATCCTTGGGAAACATACTGAACCACGAGTTGCCAATGGTGTGTGAATCTGTTTGACTGTGTGTGAAGGTGTTAGAATGCTTCCTTGAGCAAGTCTCTGGGGTGTGAAAAGGTGAATGATGAGTTGTGAATGCAAAGAGCTTGAGGGGTTCCTAAAGACTGCATAGAGCAGGGGGGTCAAACTCAAATACACAGTGGGCCAACATTTAAAAAATGGGTACTAGTCGAGGGCCGGACTGGTTCAATGTTTATTGCAGAACTTATTGAAATGAACTTATTGCACATATTAAACCTGGAACTAACAAAGCTTAAATTATTGCCTATAAAAACAACATTAAACATTAAATAATCAGTTGCATTCATTTCTTATGGCTCTATCTGCAGCTTCTCCAGAGTCATTTCTTAAGAGTACATTTTTCCACAGGCCAACAACAGCTTCAACAAAACTATTCCCCTCAAAGAGAAAACCAAACATGCCCTGTTGTCCTGAGAGAGAAAGTGCAGAAGGAAACGTCCATTAAACTCAGGTTGCTGCTCTATGATGCTAGTTCAGATACTTGGCATCTCATCTTGGGTGCAAGGTCATCAATGTTTGGGCTCTGAGCGGAGGAGACCCTCAGGATGGAGTGAAGGTGTGCGTGCAATATACCGGCGGGCCAGATCTAATAGGAATTAGAAATTATCCTGCGGGCCGAAATGAAATCCACCAAGGGCCTGATTTGGCCCCCGGGCCTTGAGTTTGACATCTATGGGATAGAGAGTTATATATAAATAGTCTATTTACTACTTTATTTGTTCAACTGAATCACAGAGGGTCTATATTATTCCACTTGAAAAAAAATGATATCGATACACAGAAGAAAACTGAACAAATACATGTGAAAAATAAAATGCTGAAATGATCATTTTGCGTTCTGTTCTTTGTCTTTATATATTTTGAAATATTTCACCAATTAATTCATTATTTTATTTATTTATCTTTGTATTTTTACATTTATCTACATATTCATTATTCTATTTATTCATGTTTATATATTGTTAAATAGTGTATTTAGCTGTTTAGTGTACTTTTTTGAAACCTGTAAAATACTGTATTAACTGCTTTGTATTTGCGTTCTTTTTCCAAGCCAAGAACCAACCGTATGTAGCATTTTCCCTCAGCCAAGTTGACTTAGTTCTATGTTTTTGTAGTTTGCTTTTACTACTGATTTTTGTTGTACTTTGTTTGTTCTCGAAGTAAAGACTTTTTTGATCTTGTAATCTTGTCGTAAGTCGTGCATTTGAGTTCAAGCATGTGTCACGTTCCTAACACTCTAAAATCTAGCATTTTAAAACGCACCTACTTATTAACTCATAATACAAAAATACACATATATGTAAAATGTTCAATATAATGTATTACTTCAGGTCATATATATATTTTACATTACCCTCTGGTTTACTTCATGCTGCTTGGTGCTTGGAGTCATGTCACCCTCGGTGTATCGGTAAGAGTGAGGGCACTTGTTTGTATTAATGTCAATATAATACATAACTCATGTTTTGTATTGAAAAAACTCTGTATAGTTGCACATGGGCGTGAATAGTTGTTTTTTGCTATTTCGATATTTCCACCCACAAACAAGTATGTGATGTGGCACTTCACTCCATGCTGTCCATTGACATGCCTAAGCACCAAAGCATTTATACATCCAGGCAAAGCATGTGTCAAAGTCATGGCCAAGGTGGATTCAAGCTATTTCAGAGATGATACACGAAACACAACATACACCGTTTGCTATGATGCTATGTTTTTTCACCGTTTGTGTAATTCAAATGAAATCTGTTCCTGGCCCTGGAAAGGTTTTAATATAACATCCATCTCTTAATCTGGCTGATGGTGTACGGGAGAGCTGTGCAGAGTCTAACGTAACAATAGTCTCTCATTTTAAGGGTATGGATCAAGAGATGTTTAACAACACATATTTTAAAGGGATATTTTGAAGTGGTCAGCTTTTGCAGGGTACTGCCTGTCAAATGAATATATAATTGTAAATAATTTGAGAAAATGTGTAGTAAATGTTTGAAAAAAATTACAAAAAATAAATGTAAAAAGACCATTAAAAGATAACCTATAATATTTGAATAAAACCGAAAATAACCAGAAAGATTAATAAAACATTTCCCAAAAATATTATAATAATTTCTGATAATATGTGAAAAAAGTGTCTTAAATATACATTTTAAAAGTATTTTGAAAATATCCAAAAATATTTGAATAATTCTGAAAAATACCCTAAAAATATGTGAATAATTTCAGAAAATATGTTGAAAATGTCCGGAAATAAATCATGAAAAATAAATGTAAGAAGTCCATTAAAAGATATTCTAAAGTATTTGAATAAATCAGAATATAACCCGAAAGATTACTAAAAAATATTAGATTAATTTCTGAAAATATGTGAAAAAAGTCTACAAAAGTGTCATAAAGATACATTCAAAAAGTATTTAAAAACTATCCAAGAAGAGCTGGCCAGCTGAAGCAGCTAAACCAGCTAAACCAGCCATCCTGGCCAGCTAAAGTGTCCAAACCCCTTCTAAACCAGCCTAATACCTAGCATACCCTCCACACACAGTATAAAGGTTGACAACGCAAAACGAAGTCACTGAATAGGCGCATTCACACCGCAGTACTTTTCCCACAAAGGTTCATGAGAACTTAGTTCATGTGAACTCTTTAGTTCTCATGAACTAAGTACAGATCGCGTTCACACGGGAATAAGTCCCTGGGGGTGGATTAGGCAAATGAAGCCGCTGACGTCAATTCTTCTTCTTCTGCTTTGGGTTTACTGGCAGGCCGCAAACCACTTCACGGCGTATACTGCCGCCCAAAGTCCCCGGAGTTAGGGACTGGCTTCAGTAGAAGCTGCTGGGACTCCCAGCAGCTTCTACTGAAGCCTTCCGAGTAAATCGCCAGAACGCCGACACCTCCTCATCTCCACCGCTCCCATGTTTTATTTTGTGTTGCCATAAGTTAGTCTCTCTGGTTTACATGTTGGTTAAAGAGCCTGTTGCTGTTTATTTATAGCTTTGAATTCTTTAAAACCAATATTATCTTCTTAAACTTGTATGGTAGTCAGGAGCATCACTTTCTAATGTTTATTGATACATTTAGAGGGAGGGGATCTAAAGTAATGCTTTAAAATTCAGATTAGATTAATGTCTACCATTTTCTTAAATTCATGGTAGTTTCAGTAACCATGGTAATTGAGGACACAAGTTATCTAAATGACTAATGTCATCTTTATGGCTTTCAGAAAGGACAGGAGACCGACAGGTGACTATCAAAGGACTAGCAGCAGCAGCATGATGATGATGATGATGTTGTTAAATGTGTTGTTTTAGGAACATCCATTGCAAATACATGGAATTCAATAAACATTGAATAGCATATCATGCAGTTTGTCTGTGCCTCTTCCTCCGTGTTGTCCTGGTTTGCTCTGCTGCCTCCTAGTCGCCACCATGGTTTGCTGTGCTGCCTGGGGATGCTCCAATCGCTCAGAGAAAGGAGTACGAATGTACAGCTTCCCCACTGACACAGAGCGGAGGAAGCAGGAGCAATTTCACGACCAACAGCAACAAAATATGTGATTTATATACAAACACTGCATTTGCACTTTTTCACAAAACGAAAACCACAGCATTGGGAAAGCTTAATGTTTTGTTTAATACAAAAAACAGGGAAAGGCTTGAAAAACACAGAGTTGAGACTCAGGGTGCAGGGTGAGGGTCTCAGTGCAGGTATTCAGGCTCCATTGAATCCCCCTCTGGTTCTTGTGCTGAAAGAGGGATAAACAGACAGGAGAAAGGGTTATACACACCTATATAGCACACCTATTGGATGGGAAATTGCCTTGGGGAGATAAGGTGTAGTCTTTGTTCTCAACTGAAGTTATGGAACTTTATTATTTGTGAGTTTAACAAAGTATGACAAATGGCATCAGTAACATATGTGATATGAATTTCTATAAAGTTGTCTCACATTCTTGGTCATATTTCATATACAGTATGTAATGAGTATAACACGTCCAGTAAGTATAAAGTGTTTCCTAATACTGTGTATTCAACCACTATGGAATATGTATGTGGGCAGACAAAACTGAGTTGTTCTGTGTGTGAAGTAACCTCAAGTCACTCCGCAGGCACATTTTGATGCAGACCAGTTTGTCGAGACAAAAAAGGGCAAGACTAGGCTGAGAGCAGAGGCTATACAAAGAAACAAAGAATCTACAAAGACTATCTCCAGCAGTACAGTAACGCACTCAAAGCAGCCCGGTCTAATTACTACTCACAACTCATTCAGTCTGGCTCCAGCAACCCTAAGTGTCTGTTCTCCACCATCAGCCAACTTCTCAAACCCTGTGACAACGCCACCTCATCCTTCACCACCGAACAGTGCAACTCCTTCCTCTCGCTTTTCCAAACCAAAATCAGCCACATTTACAGCAATCTGACACCCTCATCAGCACCCCCCACCTCCCCTCCTGGCTCCCCCCCTTCACCTCACAGCCCCTGTCCCACTTCTCCCCTGTGACCCCCATGCAACTGTCTGACTTCATGACTGGAATTAACTCCACCTGCACACTTGACCCAACATCCTCATCCTCCTCGACCTCACCGCAGCATTCGACACCATCAACCACGCCATCCTGCTGTCCCTCCTCGAATCATCACTCAACATCACCGACACTGCACTCTCCTGGCTGAAATCCTACCTCACCGACAGACATCAGTTTATCAACATCTGCACCTCCTCCACTGCTCCTCTGTCCCAAGGTGTCCCCCAGGGTTCGGTGCTTGGCCCCCTCCTCTTCATCCTCTACATGCTTCCCCTTGGCAAAATAATTTGTCGCCACAACCTTCAATTTCACTGCTACGCCGATG